TCTTGGATGTGCAGGTGGTGTAATGGATAATGCTTTGGAATTGTTAATCAGAGAGCCAAGTTTCAATTTTAGTTGGGTTTGTTATATTCACTTACATGCAAATACCCTTGGAAAAGGTATGAATCCACCTATTCTCCCCGCAAGCTAGGGGTTAATTAGTAAGGCTTTGTATCATTAAATCATTATCTCAAAAAAAATTCTTTAAATCTATTTTCTGGCTTTAAATAACCTGCAATGGGTTGATAAACTGTAGACAATAAATCAGTTGATGGGGTTTTAAGTGACTTAATGGTTAACAACATTAAAAATGGAACTGGTGAACAAAATTCAAATTCTGGCTGAGACAGTTTGTGCTCACATTGCTCAAATGCAATCTATCCAAGGTGATACCTATAGTTATCACCTTGGATCCATCTCTTCTCCTCTCAGATATGGGTAAAATAGTGGGGCAAAATGTTTTTTTGTTTTTTTAAATAAAATTGGGTTCACTAGGTTTTATTTTAAGGCTTGCTTGGTAACCAATCTAGAAGAACAATTTTGAATTCAAACCAATAGTGGATAGATGTCAACTTTCACTTCCTTACATCAGCTACTCTTATGCCATGTATCAGTTATCAAAATTAATAACTGATGAAGATCTGGTGAAGTAGAAAGCCAAAAATGGATTAAAATAACTACCCATATAAAAACAGAGAAAGGAGAATTCCTAGTACAAGTGGATGAGAGAAAGAAAAAAACAAAATCTATGGAGGGGAAGTTATCACTCATGGAATATGTTAGGTTATCTTCTAATAATATCTCTTACCTCCATATATAAGGTATATTTAGTTTGGCCTTGTGTAATGATTAAAAGATAATTCGTGAAGTGTTGAAAAATACTAAAGAAAACTTTATATATAATAATACAGAAGGATAAGGTGAAAGTTGAAGTTTCAAGAGTTCAAGTGTAAAAGTCCTGACATATATGGGAGATAGAGAGGGAAAGAGTTTGGGAGGAAGCAAATATATGTAATTATATGTATGTTTTTATCCAAATGTAGTAGCTGCCATTTAGCCATGTGGTGAAGGAAGGTATGTTATTTTCAAATGTAACAACGGTATGTTTGCTGTGTTAGGTTACCAACTAGTCATATGCTGTCTTTAGGTGTGTCCCAGCATCGGAGAATGGACAAAATTTATTGACTGATTTTAGTTGATTTTCTTTCTGTTTATATACACATCTGCTTTGAAAAGCTGCTGTGCTTCTCATTGGCTTGTGGCCTTATATCCAGGGTGTGAAAACTTTCTGATTGCTTGGTTGAACTATGGCTTTGTTTGGTTGGCAATTTTTATTATTCGTCTATTTTTTGATATGGTAAAATTTTGGTCATGTTATTTATTTTGCTATCCCCACAAATCTATGTATCAGGCTATGGACTTATTGATCCACTCTTGTACATATTCCATTTGCTAAAAATTAATGACTAAATATTCACAAGGATAACAAAAATAAATGATTAATTAATCTGGAAGACCTGTAAATGACTGAAAAAATATGTTTATTTTTTTTTTGGTTTATGTACAAAAAACAAGCAAATATAAACATGACAACTTTATAATTTGTAACTGACAGCAAAGTCAGTTTGAATTGTTTATTTTCTCAGCAGATTTTTGTACAGCAATTGTAAGAAAAAAAACAAAAAAAATTTTATTTCTTATATTTATGAACTGCAAATCTGCAGAGGAAGATACTTGAAATGAAAAAAAAAAACATTTAAGTAACCTAGCATTTATTGAAATATGTTAAGTACTTGTTTTTATTAGATACTTAGACCTTTGGTATATGAAATAAATTTGCTCTAAAAAACTCTACTTGGATTCTTAGGTAGGAACCAAAATCAATTATAATACCAACCTAAAGCCTCAATTTTTTATCATAAAATCCTTACTTAATTTTTTCTATTTTGAAAACTGGACTGAATTTTTTTTTTTTTTTTCTTATGCTGACTTCTAATTCCATAATTAGTTTGTTTTTATCAAAAGCGAATATTAAAATCTCTTATCCAACATTGCTTGGGTGATTAAATCTCTTTTAAGTCTGACTAAAAACTGTATTTAGAACATACCCTGAATATATGGCAAAGTAAAATAGAATCATCAGTCCTCTTAAAGTCAAATTTAAGGAACACAAGAAAGTTAAGGTGGAGAAATCTAGTATTATATTTGCGGGAATATGAATACACATTACTCTTAAGATATCTTATAGAAAACATTGTTGGAGAGAGAGAGAGGAAGCAGAAGGAGGGAGAATGTATCGGCCTGTTGACTGGAGGTGTAAATTGAGCTAGCACCAATTTCAGCATAATATAGTTTTCTTCATTTACACGCAGGCTATTGTCCTCATCTTTGTTGTTATGATAGTGTTTCAGCCGTCGTGTCCTCTGGCCTTCATCAGGTATATATCAATCCAGGTAATCTACAGGGCAAGCAATAACTGAGCAGTACTAAAAATAAGAACTAGATAAGCTATCTCTAGACATGGAACTAGAACAGTCTACCCCTGCAGATTAAATAAATGGTTCAGTTTTGAATTCCCTGTAGGTTACCTGGATTGATATACACCTGATGAAGGACAGGGTGTACAACAGCCGAAATGTGATAAGATGAGGACAGTAGTTTGCATGTAAATAATGACATCTTCATCCCAGAAATTCAGACAGAAATCATGGTTTTCTTTGCTGAGCAAAGTTGGTGTTGGGCAGGGGAAGCTCCCTCACTTTGAATCACTTGGTGTACTTGAGATTGTGGAAATAGACTTATCCAGTGGGCACATTAATGAACAGTTTTTGTTACCTGTTTGATTGAGAGTTTTTTTTTACTCTCATGGATTACACCTAATGAGGGCTGAAGAATAGATTGGCGTATAATTTAACAGCAGCAACAAAACAAAGAGATTCAAACATCCAAATAATGTTGGGTATGTTAATTCTTCTAGAGTTGACATCTATTTTCTTCTGTTCATGTATTTAGCTAATCTAAAAAAAATAGTTTTGCCAATTCTGTCTGCTATTTTGAATTGTTTAGTTTTATAAATTTTATTAAAGTTCAAGTGTTGCTCAATTTCATTCATATATTATGTGAGATAATCATTAGTTTTGAACAAAAATCCATTAACAAGAAATGAGTAAAATTTTTATGTTTAGTATTATTGATTTTTCATGTAAATATTCCCAAGTTCTATATATTCTATTTATATATATTAAGCTTCACAACAAAATGATTTTTTTCATTCATAAGAAAAATTAATAATAATAATATTCCTTTTTTTTTCTTTTCCAAACAAAGAAACTGGTGAGGAAATTTTTAAATTCCAAAGTTTTCATTGGTGCAAATTAAATCTGAAGTGTAATGATTTTATAGCTTAAGAAGCTGTGGACAAAGACATCATTTTGATCTTTCACTTGAAATATTCATTATTTTTTTCTAACTTATTATGAATATGTACTACCTGCCAAAAAAAAGTGAAGTTTTGTTGAAATTGGTTGAAAAATGTAGGAAATCTGATCCCATATATAAACGAACACACACAGACAACCAACCTGGGTTTTATAATAAGTATAACTCGATATCAGTTTTCCCCCTTTCATTAATGCCTCTTAATCGTGTTTTCAAATTGATTTCGTGCAAAAACAATTGTGTTTTTTTCAATTTTGGCACTGTCAGAACCACTGCAAGGTAATTTTATGTAGTCCTGTGAAGTTTTGTTGAAATCGGTTGAAAAATGTAGGAAATCCAATCCAATATATAAACGAACAGACACACACACAACCTGAGTTTTATAATAAGTATGATGTGTTGATACCTTGATTTATTTCATTTTATTATGATACATAGTAAATATTATTATACACTGATTTATTTAAACTGGTTTTCTCATCGGATTTGTTATAATAAATATTATATAAATTGAAGTGCCAAAAAGTTAGAGATAACAGTGCACTGACTGGTTTAGCCCTTCCCCACTTGTAGAAATGAATTTGGCCGGATGATGTACGTGTAGGGGGAATAGGTAAAGAAGTAGTGTAGCTGTAGCAGCCATTTGGACACAAAATTTGACACTGATCACAAAATTATTGTTAGGATTAGAAGGATGGGGCACTATCCCGAAGAGAAAACAGTATACTAGAAATCTGTGGATTCTGGACAGATATCAGCTCTATATGAAAACTGCAGATGCTCACAGATATGGCAAGAACAGGATCACTGGTGACTGATAAGGATGGTAACTACCAGACAAAGAGAAACATTGCATCAAATCACATCCCAATTTAAAACTAGTGCCACTCAACCCATCAGTCAATGTACTGTGCTTCATACATAACATTCAATGTGATTTTATAGTCATTCCTCAACAAGAGTACCATTACTGGCATCATGTTAATATACCTAATCTGGGCCAGGGAACATAATCATTAGGTCGTGGGAGATTGGTGCTAGTAGTAGCTCTAATGTTATGTGTTCTATTGGAGTTTGTAAAGACCACTAGTGAGACTAGAATCTATCTTGGTAAGTGTGATGTACACAGATCTTCTTGTAAACAATTTGCACCTCTTTATGCTTATCATGATTTCTTGGGACAATAGACTGATCCAGAAATATAACACAACTCTTCATCATATACAGGTGACATGAAACTGGTTCCAGAAACACTCAAGTAATTTTTGGTACTTCACTGACTCCTTAGATAAACCTCATTGAGGATATATAGGACATGTTGCAAATCTCATTAAATTCCCTGCAGCCTGACCCAATAAATATGACTTAATTATAGGCATCCCTAGTACGTACCGGGATAGATAAACCTATGCAACAATTCCAGCACCTTATAAACTCCAGGTCACGTCACATAGGTGTTATTATTCAGGAAAAGGTAGGAATTATATATTATGATGTATTTCTTTTTGGAACTTTAGCTTAACACCTTTAGGTGTCTGTTGTATTTGGTAATTTCCTGGGAATTC